CCCCAAAACCCCAAAACCCCAAAACCCCGTAAGATGGCATTGGTTTAGTGATTAAATAAAATATAACTAAAATAAATCATAGTTCTAATAATGATAACTATTAAATTAATCATTACCTAGAGTTTTGTGACTAAAAGCCTTTCCCCAGATCTATAGTCTCATCATAAATGATAGCTTCTCTTCATTTAAGATCTGACTTGACTATCGAAATAATCACTATTCAATTAAACTTCTTCAGCGTCTATATTCACCAATGAGGCATCCTCCTAGGATGTAACCTTTATTTAATGAGAATACGATAGAATACTAGGCTAAGTTAACCTTTCTACTACGTAGCTCTTGTCGACCAATCTTATTTTACGCTTGTAGATTTCTGTAAGTATCTTTTTATTGTTAAAAAGTGGATTGCTGCCAGCCCTTGTCGAGTGATAATTCGAAAACTCATCAAGAGATTAACGGTCAAGTTTACTTTGAGTTTTGTTTAGATTTTGCTTAATATATAAAGGCGGTGCCTCTTGAGTTGTTTGGTTAGAGATATTAGTGCTGTATCTATTATTCTAATGATATGATGCGTTTTAAGGGTAATTGCTAGGATGATTATGAGCTGTTAGGATTTTAAGTTCCTACAGTTGTTTATTCTAAACTGACCTTCTTAAAGGATTCAAATTGATTGGACTATAGTCACACTGAATCTTCACTATGTTTTCTTCCATTGATAATCTGCCGCCATCATTCCTAATAGAGGGCAGAGGGGAATTTAAAGCACTAAAGCAAACTTTAGACTACTTTGATTTATTAGACATTAGTGGCTTAAGCATTTTAATCTTATAGTTGGAAGATGACTAGCTGTAATTAGCTTTAACCTCACTATTTGACATAGGTTTTTCATTTCTGGATGTCAGATCACCTTCTTCTCCAGATATTTTAGCATTTTCCATATAATCATCAAGTAGGGTTATAAGATCTAGATAATAATCTGTGTCTTCAAATAAGTCTCTAATGTGATCGAGATTTAAGTTGGCAATTTAATACAAATCGTTCTTACTAAAGATATCGATAAGATGCTTGATCACTTTAAGTCTCTCACTATTAGAAATATGATGATCCTAGCCAATGGCATTAATAACATCGATTGCATTTTGACTTCTATTATGTCTATGATGATATTGATTAATGTATAAACTGTGATCGTGTTCCTTATAAAGCTCGAAAAGGAAATTTAGTAGATCAATCCTGGTCTAAGAGGACGGTCGATTCAATGTGATTTGCTTTATATTTTCAGGTTTATTTACATACCAACTATTCTCACTTTTATTCATCTTCTACCTAAACATTTCTGTATCTTTCCTAATATTCTCCATATCTTTCAAAGTTTTAAGGTCTAGACCTGGTGTAGCTCTGCCCTATGGATTATTAGCTTTTTAGGCAGATTGGCTAAAATTATCTATTTCTTCTATATTTAAAAAAGATTTCACAGTGTTCTCAGTCATTTGCTTTAGTATTCGATATCTTCTCTTATTTGTAATAGTGCCTACATCTATTTATAAACCTGCTCCTCTTCTTTACAATCTTTTACGATTATCTTAAGACTTTGAAAGCTACTGTGAATCTTGCTTACCACTGACTAATCTTTTATATAATGTGTACCACCTTTCATCTTAATAACACTATCGTTTTATGCTATCAAGGTCTTCTTTTAACTAGATCATTTTTATTTCTAGGCCGCTAATTTTTTTACTCTCCTTACCCCTTCTGAAATTCCACAAAAGCCAGTTCTCATGTGGGGTATTGTTTATTTGCATTGGAAAATTCATGCTTGATTTTTTAGGTTGGATTCCATATAAGCCTTGTCTGTCCTATTATTACTGCATTCTGTGCTATTGATTTAATTCCTATTCCTCTGATTTGATTTTTTTCATTTTACTAATAGCATTTGAAATCTTTTCCCTTTACCTGTATCTTGAAATCAAATCTAAGAAGAATTTCCAGCCATGCTTTTATTTTCCAAATTCAATTTATTCTTAGTATCCAAAATCAGGTAAGTAATGTTATAGGTTCTAAACGTTTTACTTTAAATCCTCTGTGGTATATTTAATATCTAAAATAAATCCGTTTGAATCAAACAGTCTCACTACATTCCCATCATCCTGAAAACCCACTTTTTTAGGAGGATGAGAGACTTTCTTTTTTGGTGATATCATCTCTGACTTAGAAAGGTGTGAGTACTTGGATTTCTTTTGATTGTTAATTTTGTTTTTAATCTCGCTAGGTGTAATTCTGTTTTTGCCTATTCTTGTTGCAGTCATTGGCTCACTATCTTGTGAGGATTGCTTTCTTTGGAATGTAAGCTTTCGTTTCTGAGGAGGCTGCAGAGTTCCACTGTTACCCTGTGAATCTTATTGTCCTAATTATGTTGACTAATTAAATGAGCTTTTCAATAGTGCACTGTTTTCTTAGCTTGAAAGTTATTTATTGATTAGCAGAGTTCTCAATCTATGAAAACCTCTTTTATCAGCAATTTAAGCTTAGACAGAGCCCGGAGTATTTTTACTTGTCAGTGGATCCTCCTCAACTATACTTAAGTTTCTTTCAGGTGTGAAAATAGATGGCTTGGGGAGTAATACACTGTTGTCTTAGTCAACCTGTGTGCTATTAAAGTGGAGTAAGGAATGCTTTTATAATGATGGTGAATGAGTCTGTAATTTACTACTAACATTGACTTTGTATCTATCATTTTAACGGCTATCAATAGATTCATCGTTTAATTTTAACTCAAAAGTGTCGCTTGATTACTTTCTATAGTTTTGTTATCTGTGTTACTGTTGTGAAGAACTATTAACGCTACGATTATCCTGCATTAATTGGATTAAAACTTAATAAATTAAATATTTATCTTCTACATGATTATAGTTTGGGTATTTATTCTATTTTACGAAATCAAATTCTATCAATTTACAAGAATAGTGGGGTTTTGGGGTTTTGGGG